GATCACAGCCGCGGCCACTATGCAAGGAAATATCTACTCCTACTATTCGATAAAGCTAATACACGTTTATATTTTCCCACATGATCTTTATCTACAGCTACAATGCAGGAACAACTTCCATGTATACAGTAGAATCCAGAAGCGAACTTGTATTTTGCCCGAGGCGAAAACATAATTCTTCCTACTCACTTTATCAACGCCTTATTTCCATTGTTGTATGAGTTTCCATTGTTACGGAAGTTATGATAGCTTAGACGACACACTGGAATAAAGCATTTTCATGTTCCCGCGAAATATTTTACAAAGATAGAACTGCTATTTTTTTTATAATTGTTGTTCTGAGACCAGTATACACACAAATCTAAAAAAAAATGGTCAGCTTTATATTTTGAAGTTGTCTACAAGTTCAAAATACATATCAGAGAAAAGAATCTTTTACGAATTGAAAAATAAGTTCAGCACAAGTCGGTACTTTAAAAATAAATTCTTGATTCTAAAGCAATCTCGATAAAATCTTCGTCGTGTTTAAACGGTAATCGCGTAAATCGTTCCAGCTTCAGTCTATATATATCGTCGTAGGTCGATATTTAATCTGCCTAAATATGTGTGATTCTTCACCTTCGGAATGATGTCAGAAAATGTGGGATCTTAATTAGAATGAATGCAAAATAATAAAATATACAACGAAAATGAAGAAACATAACACTTAATGTTATGCATTCAGAAACTGGTGCAACCAAAATTTGAACTTACAACCGTCTTTCCCGAAGAAGAAGCTCTAATTCAAAATTTGAACTTACAACCGTCTTTCCCGAAGAACAAGCTCTAATTCAAAATTTGAACTTACAACCGTCTTTCCCGAAGAAGAAGCTCTAATTCAAAATTTGAACTTACAACCGTCTTTCCCGAAGAACAAGCTCTAATTCAAAATTTGAACTTACAACCGTCTTTCCCGAAGAACAAGCTCTAATTCAAAATTTGAACTTACAACCGTCTTTCCCGAAAAAACAAGCGCTAATTCAAAATTTGAACTTACAACCGTCTTTCCCGAAGAAGAAGCTCGAATTCAAAATTTGAACTTACAACCGTCTTTCCTGAAGAACAAGCTCTAATTCAAAATTTGAACTTACAACCGTCTTTCCCGAAGAACAAGCTTTAATTAAACATCCAAATAACTTCGAAACAAATTAGAGTACACAGAACTTTGTTCAACGAACTAAAATCTGCCAGCATTTATCAACCTCTCCATGGTCATTTTAATACCCATACGTGTATATATGAACAAGGACATAAATTGTCCTGACCTCGCGACCTTTGACACGTTGGCCTTAATATTCAACAAACCTACCTCTTTAGTATAATGAGAAAGGTACTTGGATCTTTTCTGTTAATTCACTCCAAAATAAAAAGAATTTATATTTACTAAAATTCACACTAAATTCTCCAGATCGAGGCTCTTCCATTGCACTCCGGTTAGGTTGATCTTTGCGATTGCAACTTGGTGCTCTATTTCTGGGGTCTACGTTCGCGCTCACCCGCATAAACAAGCTAAAAAACAGTTATTTTTTTTTAATTTGTGAAAGATTCCTTTAAGTACCTCGTATATAACATCCGCACTTACGAAATTGGATAACTCCCTGATTTCTGGTAATTTTTCATTTTGTGGTTTGGAGTTGTTACGAAGCAAGCTAAACAAATTTTTGATTTAAAATTTATATTTCCTGTCTCTCTCTCTATCTCTCTCTATCTCTTGCTCTTTCTCTCTCTCCCTCTCACACACGCACACATACAAACACACATATTTATATAGCATTATTTAGCAAGTTTAATTTATTAAAAATGTCTCACAAAGAATTATTATATTAAGAAAGTTTTATGCATTGTATTTGTTAAATTATATTTTTTATGAAAGAAAACAAACATTACGCCACAAAATTCTTGTCCTATAATTTCGAAAGTTACTTTCGAAATTATAGGACAAGAATTTTGTGGCGTAATGTTTGTTTTGTTTATCTGTTACTACTGGTTCAGTATCCTCGATTTATTTCCCTATTATTTATCATGCTAACATTTTAACAACATTTGCCTATTATTTTATTTTTTATGCTTTTATTATTTATTGATTGTAAGGTCATATTTCTTTATGGAGGAGGATGAATCTTTTGTTGAAAAAACATTTCTAATGGCAAATTTATTGTTATGGTACGGTTCCTCGTAAGACGGTGATGGTCCAAGGTAGAACCAATAAAGAAGAACTCAAACACGTATATAGAATAACACAGATATATTACAAACAGGAATATATAGAGAGAAGAAGAATGTGTTAGTACGAACAATCAGGCTTAGTAGTAATTGTCTGAACGAGACTCTGTTTCGGACTGCCTCTGACTCGACTAACTCGCTCTGAGTGACTGACTTCTGTCGGACCTCACTCCAGACTTCAGACTGAACAGTATTTAGTCACCGCCCCACGAGGGCATCATGTGGCACAAGGCCGTTTTAACGTGGTTAAAGACCGTGGGCTCGGCCAAAAATATGCCTTTTGAACCCGTATAAACGGGTTCAAGGTCGGTTTACCTCCCCGAAAGAGACTCCGCCCTTCGGCGGAGCCTCGTTCGGGTTCCTCCCCGCCCGAAGGGAGAGAGTTCAACCGATCAGCCGGTCAACCTGTCGTCCAACTTCAGACCAAACGGTATTTAGTCTCCCCCCTCCCCCCGATGGCATCATGTGGCACAAGGCCGGTTTAACGTGGGATCACTGTGACCGTGGGCTCGGCCAAAAATATGCCCTTTGAACCCGTATAAACGGGTTCAGGGTCGGTTTACCACTCCGAAAGAGAGTCCGCCCATCGGCGTAGCCTCGTTCGGGTTCCTCTCCGCCCGAAGGAAGAGAGTTCCACCGATCAACCGGTCAGCCGGTCTCCCGACTTCGGACTGAACTCCCTGCTTTCTCTTGAGGAGCAGTATTTATTACGTATGGAATAGTCCATTATGTTATTATGGGTAAGGTCACATAACAGTTATTTTGTTTTGTTTACGACTTGTCATTATTAGTTCAATTTTGAGTCAGTCGTTCAACTCTGAACCGACTGTTCGGTTAAACTCTCTTCCTACGGACGGGAGGAACCCGAAAGAGGGTACGCCGAAGGGCAGAGTCTCCTTCGGGGAGGTAAAACCGGCCCTGAACCCGTTTATACGGGTTCAAATGGGCTATTTTTTGGCAATATCATGTCTAGCCACACTGATGATACTGTGATACAGCGAAACAGCCTGTCTCTCTTAGATTGAGCACTTTGGAAGAATGAGAATTTGTTGGTTGCTGCTAATTAACGCTAAAAGCTCTTGGGTATGAATTGAGGACTCTGGTAGCCAGTAATATTTATATGTTGTATATAATATGTTAAAATATATCTATACCGGGTGTAACAGCATAATTTTCCATCCTACATAATGTTTAATATCTAAAAAGAAAACCGCTAAACTAAATGAGGTTCTTTTTTCCAGTTTTTCAGACAGGTCGTTTAGCCATCTTTATACTATTTGTCGTAAGAATCAATGAAATCCCTTTGAGTTATTCAGCTAGAAAGAGAACAGGTTGAAATCGTTTTGTCCAACCCCAATGTCTTCTCAGCTGAGTAAAAATCCTGAGTTTAAAACTGGGATCCTTAATCCCTATTTGCTTGCACGATGCTGCTACTGCTGCTGCTACTGCTGCTGTTTCTGCTGCTGCTCTGCTGTTACATAAACCATCTTTATTTGCCGTTTCTCAGTCCTATTGCTGATATTGCTGAAGTCTTTTGCTGTCAAGCTTGGCTTTCATCGCTATCGTCTCTCTTAACAATAATGGTGCATTAGTAGGAATGTAAATAATAGTAAATCCTCAGCAGAATTTCAGGAATAAATGACCATGTAATGTTCCAACTTAGAAAACAAGAAAATGTAGCAATAATCAAAAGTCACCCAAAATTTATTTAAGATAAATAACCTAATTCTCCTTCAGGCTATCGTTACATTATGTGTTTCATGTGCTTCTAGGAAAAGCAAATATGGTTTAAGTAAGAAATATTCGCTTTTTCTATTCATAATTAAGACATTCTTCCTTCATATATCCATTCATTGTAATCTTCACATAATTCCTTCAATGAAAAACATTCCAATTTCCTGCAAAGGTTATCTAGAGCAAATCCTTGCTACGAAATATGAAAAGCTCTGTGAGGAACCAATTAGGAAGTTGTCGTGATGAATATTGAAACATAACGCCAAAATGTGTTCCTGAATAAAATTAATTTTCAAAAATATAAAAAGGATTTTTTTAATTTGATTTATAAAAGGAATTATCTGAAATCATTGCTTAAATATTTCACTTTGCCGTAATAAAGTAAATTTAAAATCGCAACGTCTATGATGTAAAATCATTTTTTTAATTTAAATAATTGCACCAAATTTCATATAGATTTTAAATTTCCCTTTTATTAAAAAGTGTATATATATATATATATATATATATATATATATATATATATTCATTAAGTAATTAAAACACTAAATCACTTACCTGCAAAAATCACATAATTTTCTCACCTTTTCTTTGAGCTTCAAACTTTTTATATAAACTTGAATGAAGTTGATACATTCATTTGAAATATTCTTTTCTGTGCCGTGATATTGTACATTTCATGTTAAGTATTTTCAGGTAATTACCAAAGGAATCAAATAATTAATTAAATTAAATTAAAGTATTTATCTAACAGTCGATATGAAAGTATATATCTATATACAAATGCAACACTCATCATAATAATGAAGCACAGTCTCTATCTTTCTTTTTTTGAATCCTATTTATCTGAGTCTTTTCATCTCTATCTTAGCTGTGACGGTTAGAATTAGTGGAAATAATGAATGTAGTTCGTTCGACCACTTTTCCATGAGAAAGGGATTGTAAGGTGGAAAATAATTCATCATCCATAAGGACGCGGAGTCTATCGGGAGTGGAAAGTGAAGACTGGGCAACTCCTGTCTATCTATCTATCTATCTATCTATCTATCTATCTATCTATCTATTATTCAAATTTCTCCTTCTTTCTTTCTTTCGATTTATCTATTTTACTCATTTATTTAATTATTTTCATCCATATCTATCTCATTCTGTACATGTCTATCTCTCAGTCTGTTTATATATATATATATATATATATATATATATATATATAGAGAGAGAGAGAGAGAGAGAGAGAGAGAGAGAAGAGGCAGCATATATATATATATTTTATATTACAAAGAGTTTTTCATATCTTGAATCATACCTTGCACTAATATTGCTAATTGATTCAAGGTATGATTAACTCTGTGTAATATATATATATATATATATATATATATATATATATATATATATATATATATATACATCAGTCTGTTCATATCGATCGATTGATGTATCTGAGTCTGTTCATATCTATCAATTTTACCCTGTTCATATCTATCTCATTCTGTTTATATCTATCTATCTCTTTTTTTATATATATATATACATCTATCTATCTCCGTCTGTTCATATGTATCTATCTCTCTATTTTACTCTATTACCTCATTCTGATCATATCTATTTCTCAATCTGTTTATCGCTATCTATCTATCTATCTATCTATATATATATATATATATATATATCTCTATATATATATCTCTCACTCTGTTCTATATCTATCTATCTATCTATCTATCTATCTATCTATCTAACCATGTGAATTTTTTTATTAATGATTTCCATCCATTTCTATTTGTAACTATTTGTAATTCTAATTATTGTATTACCTTGAAATCCACTTTCTATTCACTTTCCGTTACAGATGTATACATGAAGTGTCATATTTTCGAGAATCACTTATTGTTTCACTTCTTTTTTTCCCTGTCCAGTATCTATACAGCTGTCGGATTTTATTATTCTATTATCTCCAGGTTCTTTTCGTGTTTCCATCAATTTTGTTTTTGCTTTGCCACTGAGCATCACTTATTTTCTTCGAGGAATTTTTTTGTTTTGTTTTTTTTGTCCCGTGCTTCACTTCCATACGAAGTTTTTCTTTGGGTTCTATACCTCGTCGTGAAGGTGAATGTAAGTCAAGAAACAGAAAATTTCTTTTCGCTCAGATAACAAAAGAAAACTTTAAAAAGAAAACGTCAGCTTCAGAAGCAAAATGGCGACATCTGCAGATTTGATGACGATAAATACAGTGTGTAGTTGGTTCCGAATATTCGAAAAAAAAAAAAAAAGATTCTAAAGAGAACATAAATCAATGCGCTTCCCAACGATTATATGTTGAAGAGAATTAAATCTCTGAACTCTTCTTTTTTTTCTAGTTGGAAGCAAGTGCATCCGTATACTGTCTTTTGAAATATAAATAACAAGTGACGCCAACAAAAACAATCATAGGGAGAACATGTATAGCAACAAACAGCATCGATAAAAGAAACATTACATTTTCTACAATTGAAGTAACCAATATAATAACAATAAAAATAATCACAATGGCATGAATAATAACAGGACAAGAAATAAAGAAAGAATAATAATTCTATTTTTCTTACAAATAATGTTTATCCTGTAAAACGCCCAAGAGCCACTCTAGGTAGAGTATTACAGAGTAAGATATACAGTTTATGGTGATATGTTGTGAAGATAACGGTTGATTCTAGACTTTAACAGGGGAAGATTATAGTGATCGGGAAAGTATCCCCCTGGGAGTTGGTTCCATAAAGCAGGCGTTCGCGAGAAGAAGCTGCTTGAATAGAACTTAAATCTCATCAATGGAATATGAAGGAAATGAGGATTGTTCGCTACAATATTCGTGGCATGGCGGGTCTTAGCTGTGACGGTTAGAATTAGTGGAAATAATGAATGTAGTTCGTTCGACCACTTTTCCATGAGAAAGGGATTGTAAGGTGGAAAATAATTCATCATCCATAAGGACGCGGAGTCTATCGGGAGTGGAAAGTGAAGACTGGGCAACTCCTGTCTATAGATGGCGGCATAATTCATTTTCGGCCTGATCTTGTTCTTATCAAGTTAGGGGATATCAAGAGGAGCTATGTACTTACTTATCGTATGTACGAGTTAAATTTGAGGTCTGGGTTGAGCTGAAGTCCCATTAGGTGCTGAAAGCATGAAGGCTCCCTGACAGAATACCCCTTCATCGCGATAGATGGAAATTCCTGGTTTGCTCAGTGATGATGTAATGTCAGTTGGATTCATTGAATGTGAACAGCAAGTTTTTGGAATACTGATCTGTTAAAGCTCAACCAGAGGAAAGATCAGCTGCCAGGCTCTGGTCATCTAGAATTTTGGCACCTATATACAGTTCCATCATCAGCATAGACATTCACACTTATTGAGAGTATACTTTAAGACAGATCATTGATGTAGAGTAGAAAATGGGTAGGAACTTAAAGCGAAACCTGTGTGGTGTAAGCGTTGGTCTATGGACCTCGGAAGTCTGTCTGTGAACAATTACCTTCAAGGACTTACCCATTAGGAAAGACTTGATAATTGAGAAGGATCTCTATGCCATACATTGTCAAAGGCCTTTGAAATTATCTTGAGATGTACTGGTTGTCATTTGTCTCACTGATTCTGTGAGTAATAACTGTTGTAATATCGAGAGTGAATCAATCCGATCGAAATGCGTATTGCTGTCGTTCAAATGGTTGTCCCTATTCAGATGATTGTTGACTATTGAATGAAATAGTTTGCGAATGATTCTAAGGAGGCTGATATGTCTATACTGAGACTGGAATGAGCGCATATCCGCATCATTGAAAACAAGGAACAGATTTGCGACCTTCCACAAACTTGGGAATGATTTCTCCTTCAAGCAGGATAAATCGTTTCGCTAAGATCTGGGATAACTTCAGGTTAATACACTTAAGGACAACCACTTGGATTTTATTTAGAACCGATACTTTTCTTAAGGTCGAGACTTTTGATAAATACTGAGACTTCCTGGGCTGTAATAAAAATATTAATGAGATTATAATCATTGAGACGATGGCGGGGGAAGGTCTTTGTAATCTAACGTTGAGTTAGAGGCAAAGATCGTAGCAAAGAGCTTCGCTTTGACGAGGATAAGATGGCGTAAGGATCATTTATGAAAGTAAGTATTGACGCTGTGTCTCTATTCTGAATTTGCTTGGAGATTTGCCATACTTCTCAGGATCCAATTCCTTTGCTTTCACCATTTACTTGGGTTGATTGTGTATGGCTGCACCTCCCTTTTTCTATAATCCTCTTGCAATGACTGCGGGAAGTTCTGACTGCATCAGATTTACTTCTACACCGTACAATGTGATAGATATTTTAGTAAAGCTATGTGAGCTATGGTTACAGCATATTTAGGGGAGGCTCAGGACTGTTCGGTTTTTGCTGGAATTGTTTCTGGGGTGTAAAACTCTCCATTCCAGAAAGGATGAGGACAGCAGTTTGGGAGACAGTATGTTTGAAGAGGACTGCGAGGAGGGCTTCTACCATGTAAGATCTGAACTTCCTCAGTCCGCTGTCTACCGAAAAATCGTTCGAGGAACCGCCAGTCGGGGGATGTCTTTTGTCTGGCATTGACTAAGACACTGTCTAGTGAATGATCTCAAGTGGTCTGGGCGGGTGGTGTAAAACTTCATTTTAAGAAATATATTTACCAAAAGTGCACAAAAATATCTTGAAATGTTAAAGAGTTAATTTATTCAATAAAATTGTCATAGGCTTCAACCATACCTCCAGACGACTACCGAATCTCCTGCATCTGTTCTGGGCGGTCTTCTTGTTAAAGTTGGTGAATGTTGCCATAATCTTTGCCTTCAGTTCATCCTTTGTGTCACAAGGAGATTTTTTTTTGTTCATTCACTGCGCATCACGCATGATAAAGGGCTTGCAGTCTGGGGTGTTAGGTGGCCAGATGTAAGGGGTGATGTGGTCGCAGAAATTGCCTGACCGCCATGACTGGATGTTCCTGCTTGTATAGCATGGTGCAGTCTCTTGATGCCGCTCTATTGACCCAGGGCCGCACTGCCTCCTCAAGGCACTTGATGTAGGCCTCCGTGTTGAGTCTGATGCCCTCACCAACAAATTCAGGAATTTCTTTTCTTTCGATTCAGTGTATGTTTTCTGAGCTGCCGTAATTTCGTATTCACCATTAGACCTATCCAACTCTTTCAGAATCTTATTCACTGTCCACAGATTGACACCCAAACACTCTAAAATGTTCGTATTGGAGCTACCGGCGCGAAAGCCAAACAGTACAGCATGCCGTTTACAAATTTCTGGCGGTGTAAATTGCATCATGCTGGTCTTTTTCACACAGACAGTGCTCAACTGGCCTAACTATACCGTGCAGCTGAAAAAATCAAATGCAGACAACACTCATGCACGAAATTAAAAATATAAAATTTACCCATCGCACTTTGCATATATAGGTTGCGGCAAAAATACCACCCAGAAATAATCACACGCTTAAGGGTAAGACATTAGCTAGATTCAGACGTCATTTCCTCTAATGTATTCGCATTATGTGGGAATCATATGTGGCAGCCATCTTGATGTCTCTAGCTACAAAGCAGGATTTATTCGGTGTTATTATCCCATCACTGGACGGCCGTTTCGACCTATACTTGGGGCTCATCATCAGTATGCATCCACTACCGAGAATTGAAACCCACAGAGTTATGAGGCAAGCGTCATACCAACTGTACTATCGGGCCTCTTTTTTATCGAGGCCCGTTGGTACTAAAGAGTCCCAAACATAGGACGCTGATGATTCCTATTCTGTATTTTGTTGACGTTTCTTCTATACTCGATGAATTACTTAATTATGATATATAATATATATATATATATATATATATATATATATATATATATATATATATATATATAATCTAATCCTCACACTTGCTCCATATGTGGCCTCCTTTGTAAATCACTAGCGGGTCTTAAATGCCACTTAAGATTAGCGCATAAACTTTCATAACTCAATCAATAAGCTGGCAGATCCTCATACGTCGAAACCGACAGGAGAGTCCATTATTTTTATATATATATATATATATATATATATATATATATATATATAAGAACAGTAAGATATATAATCTGGTGTTCTTATTTAGCTTCCATTTTGAAACATGGTTAGAACAGTGTAGCGAAAAAAAACATCAATTTTAATTCAATTATATTATATATATATATATATATATATATATATATATATATATATATATATATATATATATATATATAACATCATAGGTCTTCCTCTCGCATCTTGATTTCAGTCACTTTCCCAATGTCGTAAATTAAATTAACTTTTCACGGTAATTGTTTTGGAGAGATTTTCGCCTTTGAAGCTCGAATTTAAGCGAGCGCAGTATTAGAGGGGTAGCTAGGACTCATAATTTAGAATCTTAATCCATGTTCTGGTCTGTTGCCCTGCTGTTCATCTTGATGTTCTCCACAAAATCCAAAGAAAGGTCTGCAATGTTATCGATCCTGACCTGGCATCTCGACTTCATTCCCTTTTCTCACAGACGTCATGCGGCTTTCCTCTGATTTTGCTCGAAATATTTTCATACCATATGCTCTGATGAGTTTTTTCCCCCCAGGTGCCCCGACTACATGAATTTAAGCGCCCTACTAGATTGGCATGTAGGTCCCACCATTTTACCGCTTAAATATTTAAATATAATCGCAACTTCTACTCCAAAAGTTTCTTTTCTCGCACTTCTCGACTTTTTCCCTTACTTGCTTCAGCGGTGACTACAATCTTCAAAAATTTAAATGCAGTGTCAACTGCCATTTTCTATGATTTTTCTACTTTCTCAATAACTTTTATGCCCAGTCTTTTCTCTCACATTTTGTAAACCCCTGCGTGCTAGTGGCATTCCTTCCTTGCTTGAGGTGAAAGGCTTAAAAAAATGTTATCATTTTGCTTGGAGTGAAATTATATATATATATATATATATATATATATATATGAATAATAAAATATAGTTTTAATTTATGCTATTTAGTAAAAGTGTATGACAAATTGGAAAAAGGTCTTTCTGACGCATTTTTCATCCGTTAGGATTTCTCGGATTAGGCCTTGTTGATGCTGCACGTCTACGCATGCGCATGAAACGAGAGACGCTGGTAATTTCAAAATTTTTGAAAGAAATGAAAAAAAATATTCTTTCAAAAATTTCGAACTGAACCCTTTAATTCGTCCTCAAGGACACAGGTTCCAGTGGATAAAAAACGTTAGGTGGATGTAGTGGTTTCACTCAAAAACATGTGAGTTCAATCCCTGGCTACTGCACAGGTAAAAAAAAAAAAAAAAAAAAATTGGGATGTTGAGTTAAAGGGAAATAACTGATACATCATTAAGAGGAACTAAAACAATCAATGCCGTGGACGAAATAAATGCTTCACTTCGAAATTCCAAACACCTGAAGAAGGCCGGAGCGTACAATGGCTGAAACGCCGTGAATATTACAGTAAATGTGAGGACGGCAGTTCGGACAATACAAATAATGTAAATCTAATTTTTATTAGGTAATAATGTTTCAAAACTGACATTATTTCTTATGGCTATGAATTCTATATTTATTGAGTACACAGTTTGAGTAGATACGCATGTTTTTTTTAACAGTGCAATTAACATCTACCGTCCTAGATGCTGAAAGTCTTATTAAAGAAAATGTAAAAGAGTTACATTTAGAAAAAAAAATTATTATCCGGCTGAGCAGAAGTAATTACGTTTTTAAATATATGTTTCAGCTATTCACCGTCGAAAGCATCTGAATCTGTGAATTCGAGAAACAAACAGATTTTGTTTCTGACTACTTTTTAGAGTATCTTGCACATCGGACCAGAAAAAAAAACAAAATAAAAACGCGATAAAAGATTTTTCATTGATTTTCTCCGATGAATTCAAACTTAGATTAAAAGCGATTAAAACTGCCAGAGACATCAAACAGGTATTCAGCCATTGATCTCTTATTGAACGTCCAGTTTTGTGTTGAATGTAAAAAGTGTCGCTGTGAGATGATGATGATGATGGTGGTGATGATAACAGGATCGAGCAGATCTCAGCGGTCGTGGATGGCAGTCAGCTTTGAATGACAACGCATTCTATTCAGGATGACCTCTTGTGACAAAAGATATGAACTACGAAATACTTCCAACACGGAAATTAGTCAGTGGCACTCATAGTAAAGAGGACCAAAAAAAAAAAAAATAGTTAAATGGCTTCCGGGTGAGCTGACTGAAGACGAAAACAAAAATCGCCGCTCTTAAGATATCGCTTACCCTAGATTTTTAAAATCGAAATTATCCCCGTCTTAAACGAAAAAAAAAAAAATAAATAAATAAAAAATAAATAAATAATAGAGATTTGGTGTATGTTCTTTCTGACAAACGGAAGCGATCTGTTTAATTGTTTGACCGGAAAAAAAAAAAAGATATTTTTTCGTTAATCTCTTTCCATCGAAGACGTTTTCGAATCTTTGTAAATTTCATACTGTGAATATTAAGATTGGCAAGGAGAAAATATCGTTGCTAAATTTACGGTGGTCAGTGAATGGATCTGCCTTTGGGTAGAGGCGGCAGTTGTTCAGCAAATGTATATAGAAGAAAGAAAAGAAAGCATTCGTCTTCTTATTCTCTTCCACCTCCTTCTTCTTCTTGTTTCCCGCTTTCTTTTTCCACCACCACCCATTTTTCTTTCTATTTCATTCCTTTTCCCTCCACCTCTCTCCCTTCCCGGACAAAACGAAAACAGTAGGAAACTAAAAACGAAGTCGTTGAAAAGGTCATAAAAAAATTCAAAGAAAAAAAGAAAAGAAAAAAAAACCCTCCCTTCGAACAGCGACTTGGGTCATCCATCTGCATTTGCAATTTTCTTTCCTTCCTTCTTTCCCCTTTTTTTTTTTTCACCTGCACGTTAATACCCACCAATAGGACAGATCGTTTAATCCATAGCCATTTTGAGGCTTTCTCTGCAGCTTCTGATAGAGCCCTGATGGCTTTTCCCTTTTATACTCCCCTGACTCTAAGCCGACTTACAGCACTGCATACAGATCTTCCTGCAAAACCACCGCATCCGACTTCAACCGGGAGAGACAGGTAGTTCGCCAACTGTTAACTCTGCATCTCTCAACTAACTTCTGGTATTTTTCCAGCTTTCTTTCAACGGGTTCTTCCAAATTCTCCCCCCAAGGTACCGTAAGTTCGAGCATTATGACTTGCCTGGAGACATATCTATGAGTTATTTAATGCCGAAATCTAAATATTTTGTATGCAATTTTATTTTATTTTTAGAGATAATAATATATAAAAAATTAAAATGACCCTCCCCACATTGACTATCTACATATCCCTTTTCTTTCCTTCCCAGCTGCCCCTCAACGCCTACCAATCCCCGTCGTAAAGCTCCATGGAACAGATCTTTTAATCTATTCATTTTAAATTGAATTCAAATTCCTGATGGCCCTTTTTCATCCTCAAGCGAAAATTTTGAGGATGCAAATTACTAAAGGGCTTCAATCGGGAGACAGGTACCATTTCTCATCTAGCTTCTGGTTTTTCCAGCTTTCAAAGGGTTCTTTAATTCTCCTTAATAATAATTTTCAATTTTAACCTGCCTCTCGTTTTTGAAACATGAGAATCTTTATCTTATGTATAGGAAGGAATCATCTTTTTTAAAAAAATATTTATAATTTAAGCTCTACTTCTGTATGGAGCACTGTTTTTTTTAATAAAAATAAAAATATATATAACCCTGGATTATTATATATATAACGTGTTATTTATATTTTATATTATAATTAGCTGCACACACACACACACACAGTTCTCGTGTTTCAAACAGACAGACACACACACAATTATATATATATATATATATATATATATATATATATATATATATAAAATACTAAATGATTACTAAATTTAAGTATTTATGTACGTATCTAAAATACAGTTTAAACGATACATTATAGCCCAACAGTAATTGTACATTGAACCCCTGTTGAGTGCAGTGCCAAAATTTCATTAAATGTAGACTAGGGGTCTGGAGCTAGTGTTCTTATGTTTTTGCGGCAATTTTTTAATAGGAAATTCAGTATTTCTTTTCGACAGACATTCTTATATCAATCCACATATATAAAAAAAAAACACTTGCATATTATATTCCAATTATTATGTGTGTGACAATAATAAACACTCACAATAACTTATGACAACATTACTAAAGAATTTAAAATATGCAGAACACAACATATATTTATACATTTCACTACGCTATATTAGAACTAATTTTTATAAATACAACTGAAAAGAGAAGAGTTTATATGTGTCACATGACTTGATGATATATAGATAAATAGATACGCGCCTGCTTTCTGCTTTTGAAGATTTTGAATTAAAAGCAAGGAAGAAACCCGAATGTATTATAAAAATTACACCTGCTAATTTGAAAACGAGTGTCTTTGTTTTAAGCTCTTACTCAAAATTTTAACGGAATGTGTTAACCATAAAACCCAGTGGAACAATAAACTTTTTCCTTCTTTAGTATTAATTAAGAATTTTGTACTCAAAGTAGATTTTATGGAAGAAATATCTGTTTTAATGTAACGAAGTAAAACGTGTATCTATTGGCATTGTAAAATAGTTTATTTTCATACTTTAAATCAGAATATATTATTTTGAAAATGACTAAAACTGTTTCAGGCTATTATTACAAATTTACACTCCATGTCATAAATATGAAACCCAATGGAACAATAAACCTTCTTATACAATCTTCAAATACAAATTAAAATGTGTAAATAATAAAATTGGCAATATTGTTACATCATTTTGCATCTGCTTTTTACAGCTTTTATATATATATATATATATATATATATATATATATATATATATATATATATATATATATACAAATTGCTAAAACCCAATTACAGCCTCTTTCTCTTTTTTTCCCTCTCCCTCTTCTTTCTTTGTCCTTTTTTTTCTCCCTTCTCCCCTTTCATTTATATATAACACTTCCGTTAAGTTAACAGTATAAATAGGTCAAGGTCTGGTCACTCCTCCTCCTCCAATATAAAGTATGATTGAGAGAGATTGAAATTAATCCCTCCCTAAACTCTACCATGTCTCTTTAACTATCCCTTTTACACTCTCTGTTAAATTACAAAAACACTACCCATCAATTTTAATTTCATTTTTCGTTTCATTTGATTTTTGGATTTGCTATCTGATAATGGTACCTTAAAGTGGTCTGTTTTTCTTATATATATATATATATATATATATATATATATATATATATATATATATATATATATATATATTACGAGGAAATTTTTAAATAGTTTTGTAGATTTATAGGGTTCTATCTCTCTTTCTCTTTTCTCATCTATCTATCTTATTCTGTTCATCTCTCTCTCTCTCTCTATCCAGTTTGTTCACATCTATCTTAATCTGTTTATCTCTCTATATCCAGTTTGTTCAAATCTATCTTATTCTGTTTATCTCTCTCTATTCAGTTTGTTCATATCTATCTATCTATCTATCTATCTATCTATCTATCTATCTAGATAGATAGATAGATAGATAGATAGATAGATTTGCATTTATCTCTCTCTATCCAGTTTGTTCATATCTATCTATCTATCTATCTATCTATCTATCTATCTATCTATCTATCGAAGATTCATAGATATGAACAAACTGGATAAAGAGAGAGATGAACAGAATAAGATAGATATGAACAAACTGGATAGAGAGAGAAAAAAATCTTCTCATTTTCTCTGGATCTATCTATCTATCTATCTATCTATCTATCTATCTATCTATCTATCTAGATAGATAGATAGATAGATAGATAGATAGATAGATAGATTTGCATTTATCTCTCTCTATCCAGTTTGTTCATATCTATCTATCTATCTATCTATCTATCTAGATAGATATCTAGATAGATAGATAGATAGATAGATAGATAGATAGATAGATATAGATAGATAGATAGATAGATATGAACAAACTGGATAAAGAGAGAGATGAACAGAATAAGATAGATATGAACAAACTGGATAGAGAGAGAAAAAAAATCTTCTCATTTTCTCTGGATCTATCTATCTATCTATCTATCTATCTATCTAGATAGATAGATAGATAGATAGATAGATAGATAGATAGATAGATAGATAGATAGATAGATTTGCATTTATCTCTCTCTATCCAGTTTGTTCATATCTATCTATCTATCTATCTATCTAGATAGATAGATAGATAGATAATGATATAGATAGATAGATAGATAGATAGATAATATGAACAAACTGGATAAAAGAGAGATGAACAGAATAAGATAGATATGAACAAACTGGATAGAGAGAGAAAAAATCTTCTCATTTTCTCTGGATCTATCTATCTATCTATCTATCTATCTATCTATCTATCTATCTATCTATCTAGATAGATAGATAGATAGGTAGATAGATAGATAGATAGATAGATAGATTTGCATTTATCTCTCTATCCAGTTTGTTCATATTCATCTATCTATCTATCTAGATAGATAGATAGATAGATAGATATAGATAGATAGATAGATAGATAGATATGAACAAACTGGATAAAGAGAGAGATGAACAGAATAAGATAGATATGAACAAACTGGATAGAGAGAGAAAAAAATCTTCTCATTTTCTGTGGATCTATCTATCTATCTATCTATCTATCTAGATAGATAGATAGATAGATAGATAGATAGATCCAGAGAAAATGAGAAGATTTTTTTTTTTTTTTGAACATCAATCATCTCAGCATCTACATTGTATATGAGGCAGCATAACAGCAAAATTTCTAGTCGTTTATCAATACACGCCTGAGGCGCATTTTCTATACCAGCAAGGCAAGATCATCAGGGAGAAATTCTGGCAAAAAGCAGTGCAACATTCTGTTAGTCAGCCATCGTAAAGACCCGAGAGCCGTTAAAATACAACATTACAATAACGAAAACTGAGTAGACAGCTCCAAGTACCAACGAACATCAGCTGAGCGCGCATTTCGTTTGAACGCTACAATTAAAATACGTTCAGTACGGGGAACATTTCGATACAACCCTATATTTTGTTCAATCGTTCTGTATTTCCTCTACCCGTCTAAAAAATACATAGGAATTTCACTCACTGATTTTTATCGAGTCTCGCTTTATGTGTTGTTTCACACGAGAATTATAATGACAGTGTAGCAGAATATCAGATTTGCATTTAAAATCAAATAGAACGTGTATTTTTCTTTGAAACTGAATATCAATAGTTTATCAAAGTACCAGTACATTCTTTAATGTTTATTGCCAATTTCGTTAGCCGAATAAATAAAAGACAATTTTTTTTTAAATGTCCCTTTGATTTTCTGAATGATAAGCAATTTTAAAACTGGAAATATTTATAAAGGGACTCAATTTTATTAGTGTACTTGTTTATATCTCCAGAAAATAATGCACATATATAATAATAATAATAATAATAATAATAATAATAAAAGTGTCTCCCGTCGGTATGTATATAAGGGTATGTGTTTTGCATTGCATGCCCACATTTCTATTTTCTTTTATTCAAGAAGAAATTTTATACACTGTAATTAACTCATGAATACATTTAGCCAATCACTGAACAATCGATACAAGCCCTGCATTCCCTGTGTAATATCAATGTCTTTGCAAAAAGCCGCTTTAGCTATTCAACACAAAATATCGATAATCAGATTTCCAGAGCGAAATAAACGATAAAGGAAGGATCAGAATTAATTTTCAAAGGCTCCGATATTCAGTGAACTTAAAACGATTACTTGATTACTTATTTTAGTGCATCATTTCACAAATCTAACAAATTAGCCGTAAGTAATCAATGTGGCCTTTTAAGAGCCAATCTGAGATTTATATTATTGCCGACTAATCCTTTTTTTATGTTTGTAACATTTTATCAATTGGGGCTAACTTTGATAAAAACATTTCATTCTTTTCGTTTCATTGAAGACAAAAATTGCAGCCAATGTTTCTCAAGTGAATTATTCAAAGTCATCTTGGTCATCTGAAGATGGATATTCGCTAATGAAGAAACGTGCATTAGGGCCGAAAAAATCGTGGCATTTAACGAAAAGATTTCGGTTTAAGTCTTGCAAGATGTCGTTTGTTGAACGAATGGAGAAGCAAAGCAGGCCGAGTAATACATCTGCTTTTATAGCCGATTAAATTTGCATAACAGATTTTATAATTAGTTTACAGTTGTTTATAATGAATTAAATTAAATTTAATTTAAATGCTTAATAAATAATAATAAATTTGCCTTATTTCAGGTTTTTGACCTTCGATTTAATACTTTCAGTCCACTTTTATGAGGTTTGAAAAACTCTCATTTAAGTAACACACTATTTTAATGTTTTAGATACATTATGAAATAAGTAGCGAAGTAATCGTTCTAAGTAAAGCGGTTCATCGAAATAAGTGCTGCATAATTTGCTGCGCTTTTTCTGATACTGACAAATATATTCCTACAACACTGTCGGTTTTGTGTGGAGTCATGATGGTGTAATGTTGTATCACACCCAATGTGATGAACTGAAAACTGATTTTCGCTGCGCATGCGTCTTTGGAGCTAAGAGTATGTGTGACTGCCGTCCCTCAATGGCCTATATTAGGTGCTAATCTTGGGGACCACATGAAAACCACGGGGACAGAAGACCATTCAGAGTAAATAGTAATGTTGTAGCTCGTTAAAGTTTAAGAGTTACAATTAAAAAAAAAGGTCTGAGCTGCAACTTTCTCATGTATTCACTGACAACTGTAAATTTGAACAAGTCGCTGAGTTCTGCGAATGTCCATAGACCCACGTGACCTCTTTTGTTAACACAGTTAATCAGAGGTAGACAGAATGTCGCCAATACGACTGGAGTAATTCATATACCTAACAGCTGCCATTGACAATAATTAAAGCAAATAAATTAAAATTAAATTGGGAACTCAAGACAGACTTGATTTCACGCGATCATTTGTCTTCATTTCAAAGTTTCCTAATTATCGATTTGATTGGTTTTTATTTCAGCGCAGATTACCTTGAACTTGTCTTAAAAGGTTTTCTGACCTACAGTCCTGTCTTGAAACCGATTTAATCCTGTTCCCTTTACTCGGCTTTAATCTTACTTTTGAGGAATTGTTTTCGTTATTCCACAAAACTATACATCTGAATTGTAATGGTATTCATTCTGTCTAGTAGTAAAATTTGAAGCTCAGAAATCGAACTAAAAGCCCCAAAATAAACTGTTAAACTAATATTTTTTCTTAGGTTGGATATTTAATATGGCGATGGTAATACTAGCCTTTTCCTTATAAGGAAAAATTCGGAATTTATTGAACCAACAACCAATGCTTTCTATTGAAAAAATTATTCAAGAAACTAGTTTTCTCAAGCCCGATAACTATTATCGCTCTTTCCAGTATTGATAGGAGCTTCCTTGATAACCTTTTGTTCGAAGAAGCATGGAAAGTCAACAATATGATTATGTCATTTGTTACATGAGGTTTAATAAGTTGTCGTTTCTACCTTGCAAAAGAAAGATTCCCGGATATAAGATATGCAATTTTGCCTCAGGCTTATTCTTTATTTCTACTCAACGTTGCGCGCGAAAGATTGCAGAATAAGTTTCTGATAAAAATCCATAGACATAATGTTGAAACTTGGATAAGCATGGAATAATAATAATACAACACAAAATGTACGTAAACAGAATTTATTGAAACAAGGAAAAGGTACACAATATTTACAGTTAGTTTTGGTATATTCTTGGGAAGACTGTTCCTGTAGAATGGGTTGACTTAATCGCAGTCGGGCAGAGTCTCTGGATTGGATCTCTTGTTACTTCCCCGTCTTCCCGGTACCAACCCATATTTATATGGTCGGTACTCCACTATGTAAATTAGGTGGATCGTACCACAACACCTACCTCCCAAGCCTTGGAATCCGTTTTGGATTTCAAATTGGCTTGATGATTATGGCTATTTCTCTATTTTATGGTCGGTACTCCACTATGTAAATTAGGTGGATCGTACCACAACACCCCCCCTCCCAAGCCTTGGAATCCTTTTGGATTTCAAATTGGCTTGATGATTATGGCTATTTCTCTATTTTTATGGTCGGTACTCCACTATGTAAATTAGGTGGATCGTACCACAACACCCCCCTCCCAAGCCTTGGAATCCCTTTTGGATTTCAAATTGGCTTGATGATTATGGCTATTTCTCTATTTTTATGGTCGGTACTCCACTATGTAAATTAGGTGGATCGTACCACAACACCTACCTCCCAAGCCTTGGAATCCCTTTTGGATTTCAAATTGGCTTGATGATTATGGCTATTTTCTATTTTTATGGTCGGTACTCCACTATGTAAATTAGGTGGATCGTACCACAACACCTACCTCCCAAGCCTTGGAATCCCTTTTGGATTTCAAATTGGCTTGATGATTATGGCTATTTCTCTATTTTTATGGTCGGTACTCCACTATGTAAATTAGGTGGATCGTACCACAACAC